GACATAACCCAAATCAGTGTGTATTATTTAGTCTTTGTGAAAGTTATAGAGTCCACAGACCACGGTATATATATTTGATATATTTGAAAATGTATCAATCCTGATGCACGGACTACCTATATAATTTTCCTTGGGGCCCTAAAATGCCAGGACAGTACAAATACCCCCCAAAACGACCCCTTTTAGGAAAGTAGACAGTCTGAGGTATTTAATGAGAGGCATGGGGAGTTTTTTGAAGTTGTCATTTTTTGCCAATTTTTTAAGGAAATGATGAAAGTAAAAAAAAATTTTTTTTTTTTCCCACAAAGTCGTCATTTAACAAGTTCTTTCTCTCACATGGCATAGGCATACTTGCAATTACACCCCAAAAACACATTCTGCTACTCATCCTGAGTATGGCGATACCACATGTGTAAAACTTTTTCACAGTCTAACCACATAGAAGGGCCCCACATCCAATAAGCACCCTTAGGCGTTCTAGGGGCAAAAATTACACATCTAATTTCTTGACTGTCTATCACAGTTTTGGAGGTCCTGGAGCACCAGGACAATTGAATTACCCCAAAATGACCCCATTTTCGAAAGAAAACACCTCAAGGTATGTTTTAAGAGGCATGGGGAGTCCTCTGAAGACTTCATTTTTTGCCACATGTTTTTGGAAAATGTGAAAAGAAAATGAAAATGTATTTTTTTTTTACGCAAAGTTGTCAATCTATGAGATATTTCTATTACACAGCATAGGCATACTTAAAATGATACCTCAAAACGCATTCTTTAACTCCTGCTGAATATGGCGATACCAAATGTGTGAGACTTTTTCACAGTCTGGCCACATAGAGGGGTTCCACATCCAATAAGCACCTGTTAGCGTTCTAAGGGCAAAAATTACACATCTAATTTCTTGACTACCTATTGCCGTTTTGGAGGTCCTGGAGCATCAGGGCAATGGAATTATCCACAAAATGACCCCATTTTGGAAAGCAAACACCCCAAGGTATGTTTTAAGAGGCATGCAGAGTCTTCTGAAGACTTCCTTTTTGGCACAAGTTTTTGGAAAATGCGAAAAGAAAATGAAAATGTATTTTTTTTCTACACAAAGTTGTCAATCTATGAGATATTTCTATTACACAGCATAGGCATACTTAAAATTACACCCCAAAACACATTCTCTAACTCTTCCTGAATATGGTGATACCAAATGTGTGAGACTTTTTCACAGTCTGGCCACATAGAGGGGTTCCACATCCAATAAGCACCTGTTAGCGTTCTAAGGGCAAAGATCGCACATCTAATTTCTTAACTACCTATTGCTGTTTTGGAGGTCCTGGAGTATCAGGACAATGGAATTATCCACAAAAAGACCCCATTTTGGAAAGCAAACACCCCAAGGTATGTTTTAAGTTCTCCGTCACTCTCATCTGTCATACTCAGAATTTGAAATGCCTCCTCGCTTGTATATGATCTTTTGGCCATATTTTTGACACTGATCAGGACCCACTGGTATGGCAGTGATCAGGATGGTGTTGCAGTGAGGGACAGATATCTGGCTGCAGTTGGTTCACACTAGTCACTGTTGGGCAAAAATCAGAGATACAGTGAGGTGGCTGGCAATGTTTTGTGAGTGTGTGTAAACTCTGTGCAAGGCTGAAAATTACTCACAGTTAGCTGTACTGGATCTCTCTCTCCTCACAGACGATGGCAGTGAACAGGATCCACTGGTGTGGCAGAGATCAGGGACACTTTATGAACAGGCACACTGTAAGGTGATCAGGGACACTGATTGGGCCACTGTATGGTGATCAGGGACACTGCTGGGGCCACTGCGGTGATCAGGGACACTGCTGGGCCACTTGTGTGGCGATCAGGGACACTGTTGCAATCAGGGACACTGTGGCAATCAGGGACACTGCTGGACCACTTGTGCGGCGACCATGGACACTGCTGGGCCACTGCGATGATCAGGACACTGCTGGGCCACTTGTGTGGCGATCAGAAACACTGCTGGGCAACTGCGGTGATCAGGGACACTGCGGTGATCAGGGCACTGCTGGACCACTTGTCCGGCAATCAGGGACACTGCTGGCCACTTGTGTGGTGATCAGGGACACTGCTGGGCCACTTGTGTGGTGATCTGGGCCACTGCGGCAATCAGGGACACTGTGGTGATCAGGGACACTGCTGGACCACTTATGCAGCAATCGGGGACACTGCGGTGATCAGGGACACTGCTGGGACACTGCGGCGATCAGGGACACTGCTGGACCACTTCTGCGGCGATCAGGGACACTGCTGGGCCACTGCGATGATCAGGACACTGCTGGGCCACTTGTGTGGCAATCAGAAACACTGCTAGACTACTGCGGTGATCAGGGACACTACGGTGATCAGGGGCACTGCTGGACCACTTATCCGGCGATCAGGGACACTGCTGGGCCACTTGTGTGGTGATCAGGAACACTGCGGGGCCAATGTGGGGATCAGGGACACTGCTGGGCCAATTGTGTGGTGATCAGGAACACTGCTGGGCCAATGCGGTGATCAGGGACACTGCTGGGCCACTTGTGTGGTGATCAGGAACACTGCTGGGCCAATGCGGTGATCAGGGACACTGCTGGGCCACTTGTGTGGTGGTCAGGGACACTGCTGGGCCACTGCGGCAATCAGGGCCACTGCGGCGATCAGGGACACTGCTGGACCACTTGTGCGGCAATCAGGAACACTGCGGTGATCAGGGACACTGCTGGACCACTTGTGCGGCAATCGGGGACAATGCTGGGTTACTTGTGCGGCGATCAGGGACACTGCTGGGCCACTTGTGTGGCGATCAGGGACACTGCTGGGCCACTGCGGCAATCAGGGACACTGCGGCAATCAGGGACACTGCTGGACCACTTGTGCGGCAATCAGGGACACTGTGGCGATCAGGAACACTGCTGGACCACTTGTACGGCAATCAGGGACACTGCGGTGATCAGGGACACTGCTGGGCCACTGCGGCGATCAGGGACACTGCTGGACCACTTGTGCGGCAATCAGGGACACTGCGGTGATCAGGGACACTGCTGGGCCACTGCGGCAATCAGGGACACTTCTGGGCCACTTGCGTGGCAATCAGGGACACTGCTTGGCCACTGCGGCGATACTGCTGGGCCACTTGTGTGACGATCAGGGACACTGCTTGGCCACTGCGGCGATCAGGGACACTGTGACGATCAGGGACACTGTGGCGATCAGGAACACTGCTGGGCCACTATGTGGTGATCAGGGACACTGACAATCAGGGACACTGCTGGGCCACTTGTTGGGCGATCAGGGCCACTTGTGGGCAATCAGGGCCACTTGTGGGCGATCAGGACTTGTGGGCGATCAGGGCCACTTGGGGCAATCAGGGCCACTTGGGGCAATCAGGGATACTTGTGGGGGCAATCAGGGACACTTGTGGGGGCGATCAGGGCCACTTGTTGGGGCAATCAGGGCCACTTATTGGGGTGATCAGGGACACGTGGGGCAATCAGGGCCACTTTAGGGGCGATCAGGGCCACTTTAGGGGCGATCAGGGACACTTTAGGGGCGATCAGGTGTCACTGAGGTGGAGGGCAGTTAGCTACAGCCCTTTTCTTCGCTGTTTCTCCTCTCACAGACAACTCCGTGAGAGGAGAAAGAGGCGGAAGCCGCACCATGCGGCTTTTGTTTACACTTAAGCTGTGTCCTTATTGGACACAGCTGATCACATGGTATGGGACCGATTTCATTGGTCCCATACCATGTCACGTAATCCACCGTGTCCGTCGGACTCGGCGATCATCGGGCTCGCGGGGTGCGCGCTCTAGGAGCCGCGCACGAGCCTCAGATGCAAGGTGCCGTTTAGAGACGGCAACCCGCTCCTGTAGGTGTCCCGTCCTGCCGTTTATAAACAGCGGCCGGACGGGAAGTGGTTAACAACACATAGCTAGTGCCTTGTATTTAAAGTTGAACTGCAGACACAAAACATTTATTTAAATAAATTCCTCAATGGCTGCAAAAGATATACATCTGCTTTTTATGCACCAAATGCCTTTGCAAACCCTGATATTAACTTGCAAAATAGCAATGATCTCATCACTGTAATACACACAGTCTGTGCAAAGAGCAGAACTCTGGGAAGGACTCAGCAGGCCTATTCACTACAGGCTGCCTGCGCAAAACTAGAGGAGAGTGTGGATACAAGACCAATCACCGTGCACAAGGCAAGAGATTAGCAGTGACTACAGGAATCTCCTGCACAGACACAAAGGTTAACAGTGGATTATTGCACAGATCTGTAAAAAATACACAAAGAGTATGAAAATTTTACAAGCTCTTTATATTTGTACATTTTTTTAATAAGGCAGTCAGCTTTAACCACTAGCCTACAAGGCACTTATACCCCCTTCCTGTCCAGGCCAATTTCCAGCTTTCAGCGCTGTGGCACTTTGATTGAAAATTGCGCAGTCATGCAATATTGTACCCATATGAAATTTTTATCATTTTTTTGTGACAGAGAGAGCTTTCTTTTGGTGGTATTTAATCACATCTGGGGTTTTTTTTCTTAAACAAACCAAAAACCACTGAAAATGTTGAAAAAAAACAAACGTTTTTTCTTAATTTTTGTTATAAAATTTTGTAAATAAGTGATTTTTCTCCTTCACTGATATGCGCTAATGAGGCTGCAGTGATGGGCACTGATAGGCTGCACTGATGAAGAGGCACTGATAGGTGGCACTGATGGGCACTGAAAGGCAGCACTGATACATGGCACTGATATATGGCACTGATAGGCAGCACTGATAGGCGGCACTGACTGGCATTGATAGGCGGCGCTGACTGGCACTGTTAGGCGGCACTGACAGTCGGCACTGACTGGCACTGATAGGTGGCACTGACAGGCACTGATAGGTGGCACTGATGTGCACTGATAGGCGGCACTGATGCGCACTGATAGATGGCACTGACTGGCACTGATAGGTGGCACTGATTGGCAGCACTGATAGGTGGCACTGACTGGCACTGATGGGTGACACTGAAAGGCAGCTCAGATGGGCACTGATATGTGGCATTGATGTGCACTGGTAGGCACTGATATGTGGCATTGATGTGGCACTGATGGGCACTGGCACGAGTCACTGATGAGCACTGACAAAAGGCACTGATGGACACTGACAGGTGGTGCTGCTGGGGCTACACTGATTATCAAGGCACACTGATCATCAGTGCCCTGATGATCAGTGTAGATGTCCCCTCCGCGGAAGCCGATTATCGGCTCTCCTCTCCTCTCGAGCCGTCAGCGTGACAGCTCTAGAGGAGAGGAATGCAGATAACCGGCATTTCCCTGTTTACATGTGATCAGCTGTGATTGGACACAGCTGATCACATGACTGAGCCGACATCTTCAGCTCTTTCTGTGATCGGTGATCCGCTGTGTCTGAGGGACACAATGCACCGCTGATCACCACGCTGTGTGCTCCCTGAGCCGCGCATGCGCGGTGAGAATGGGAGGACGTCATATGACGTCCTCCCAGAATGGGAGAACCACCTTGCGTCCATCATATTACTTTACTATATGGCGGGCGAGAGGTGGTTAAGGGCCTGTTCACACCACAATGTGTGTATTCCTGTGAGGCGTGTTTTTTGACAGCCCACTCATTGGCTGCCAAATTCGCAGAAACAGGCAAAAAGTATGGTAGACATGACTGTTAAAATTGTGCCACTCCAAATCACATGGTACTGTGGTTACCGTGCGTTTTGGTGGCCACAAACATGAACACATTTGCTAGATAGTTTGGGGTGCCATTAACAGTTATTAGCACCCACACGTGTCTGTAGAAGACGTATTCCCATGTGGTGTGGGAAACTCACACAGAAATGCGTGTTTACCTCACTGCAACTAACTAAGCACTGTGAAATATACACATTTGCTTCTCTTTAATTTTGTGGTGTGAAGGTAAACAAAAAATACACAGGTTAATTATTAGTAGGTGAGAGTAAAAACATGAATTAACCAGTTGCCCGCAGCCCTGTAGCAGAAGTACTTCTACAGAACGGCAGGGCTGCACAAAGTCACATATATATACGTAATTGGGGGCTATATGTCAATCACCAGGTCCCGGCCAGAGATTCTCCACTGGCACCCGTCGATCACCGAGTATCACTGACAGGGGAGAGACTTGTGTGTAAACAGCACAGGTTTCTCTCCTGCCTGCAGTAACATGCTACTGTGTATTTCTCTGCACAGTAGAGAAATACACAGCAACATGTTTCCCAAGTAAAACACACACAGAACATGATGTAAAACAGCACACAGTTAACCCTTTGACCACCCCATATGGTAACCCCTTCCTGCCCAGTGTCATTAGTACAGTGTTTTTTATTGGCACTGATCACTGTATTAGTGTCAATGGGATGTCAGTGGCAGTTAGTCAGTTCCCACACAGTCTCAGAATGACATGTACCAGAATGCATTTTTGCCTAAATTTATGATGAAATTTTATTTTTTTAATTTTTCTACTGGATATGTTTTATAGCAAAAACAAATCTCTATCTGTGGGAAACAAAAGGACGTAAATTCCATTTGGGTGCAGTGCTGCAAGACCGCACACTTGTCAGTCAAAGTAATGCAGCGCCGTAACTCAAAAGATGGCCTGGTCAGGAAGGGGGGTAAATCCTCTGAAGGGCAAGTGGTTAAAGGTGAACCAAATACACAAATCAAATACACATATGAGATTTATTCAACCTTCCAACAATATTTTATAGCTCAATTTATAGTATATAATATATAGTATAGTAAATTGCTAAATGTTTTTTATTTCTGAGCCTTTCTGTCCATTTGATTCTTCCACACAGCCTTGGAAGGGTAGTAGGCCTGATTTTTTTCTCTGCTGACATTCATTAACACATCTTGCCATAGGGTAGCCTGGTTCCACTTAAAAAGTGCAACAGAAAAAGGAACCAATAGTGCAATGGTCAGTGCATGAAGTCTATTCATTAAAATAAAAAAAAAGTAAATTCTACTTATAAAGGAGGTTCACTTATCAAAAGTGATATAGATATTCAAATATATTTTTTCTCATTTACTGGCCGGAGTAGGAACAATGGTATTAAAGCCACAGAGTAACCAAAGCTCTAGAGCTTTTACAAACAGTGTTGTGTACAAGAGCTGCTAGAGGTGGCATATCACCAAATCTCAATAAATCACTTACAGAACACTGCTAAACTATTGCATCCTGGCACTCCATCTCTTCCTCATGCTTGTTTGTTACCTATGCCTGGAGGTTCATTTTTTTTTTAATCTTTATTTAGTCATTTCACAATGGACAAAAGAAACAACATTCCGTGGCATATTATACAATGCAGGAAGTTTTTGCAGAAGTCTGGCTTAAAAATATTTGAGAAAAAGATCACACATTCCTTGGTTAGGTCGTGCATACCATATTTTGCCTCATAGTACTGACATGGGTTTTTTTTTTTTGGAAAAGCATGTAGAAGGAAGAGATAACAATGGGAGAGGGAGAAAATGAAAAAAAGTGGAGGTTAGACATAGATAGATAAATGAAAGGAGAGAGATAATCTCTCCCAGGCTGCACCTCTTCCTGAAGGAGAGACAAAACTTCCATGTTATAGTATGATAAAATCTTGCTTGTAATCTAGGATTGAGCAGAAGAAAAGTTGCAATATCTTTGTGTGAATCAAAAATCATTAAACATAGAACCTCATGGAATTAAATTTGTCTTTTATGTTTTAATGAGGCAGTGAAATATTCCTTGCTTATTACTAGAGATGAGCGAATTATTCAAAAATTTGATTCGGCTGATTCGCTGAATTTGCGGGAGAAATTTGATTCGATGCGAATTAATTCGCCGCAAATTTAACTTATTAAAAGGGTTTCTAGGCTTTATATTAGTGCAGAACACTGTACCTTTAATTTAAATGCCCTTGGAGTCTGCTGGGGAAGAGAAATAATACTGTCAGTCAGTATGACATGCAGATGAGTGCCGTCGATCTTAGAATCACCGCACACTTCACTCATTTGGGCAGTCACGGGGCACGACGAAGAAGAAGAAGAAGAAGAAGAAGAATGAAAAGAAGAAAGAAGAATGAAAAGAAGAAGAAGAAGAATGAAAAGAAGAAGAAGAAGAATGAAAAGAAGAATGAAAAGAAGAAGAAGAAGAAGAATGAAAAGAAGAATGAAAGAAGAATGAAAAGAAGAATGAAAGAAGAAAAGAAGAAGAATGAAAAGAAGAAGAATGAAAAGAAGAATGAAAGAAGAATGAAATGAAGAATGAAGAAGAATGAAAAGAAGAATGAAAAGAAGAATGAGAAGAATGAAAAGAAGAATGAAAAGAAGAAGAGGAAGAAAAGAAAAGAAGAAAAGAAGAAGAATGAAAAGAAGAATGAAAAGAAGAAGAAGAAGAAGAAAAAAGAAGAAGCAGAAGAATGAAAAGAAGAATGAAAAGAAGAAGAAGAAGAATGAAAAGAAGAAGAAGAAATGAAAAGAAGAATGAAAAGAAGAAGAAGAATGAAAAGAAGAAGAAGAAGAAGAATGAAAAGAAGAAGAAGAATGAATGAAAAGAAAAAAGAAGAAGAATGAAAAGAAGAAGAAGAAGAATGAAAAGAAGAAAAGAAGAATGAAAAGAAGAAGACTGAAAAGAAGAAGAAGAAGAATGAAAAGAAGAATGAAAAGAAGAAAAGAAGAAGAAGAATGAAAAGAAGAAGAAGAAAAGAAAAGAAGAAAAGAAGAATGAAAAGAAGAAGAAGAAGAATGAAAAGAAGAAGAAGAAGAATGAAAAGAAGAATGAAAAGAAGAAGAAGAAGAATGAAAAGAAGAAGAAGAAGAAGAATGAAAAGAAGAATGAAAAGAAGAAGAAGAAGAAGAATGAAAAGAAGAAGAAGAATGAAAAGAAGAAGAATTAAAGTACAGCAAAAAGTGTATCTGCAGAGAGCTCCGCTATTTCTGACAGTTCTCTGACAGTTCCTTCACATTTACAGCGGTTGAAACATTGTATCTATTTATTTCTGAATAAAAACATCTGTATCCTAAATGGAAACAAATAGATACAATGTTTCAACCGCTGTAAATGAACTGTCAGAACTGTCAGAAATAGCGGAGCTCTCTGCAGTGACACTTTTGCCAGCTGATCGGGAAAAATTTGATTTATGCACCCGAAGTTTGCTAAAATTCGGATTCGATGCGAATCGAATTTTTCCTGATATTCGAAACGAATTCCACTTCGCCAGGTTCGATTCGCTCATCTCTACTTATTACAGAGCTCAACACAATGGGCTACAAGAAATGGGTGGTTCTTGCCAGCAATGGGTATATTCTTCTGCAAAGAGTACCTTGATTGTAACCTATTCCAAATCTACCCACCTCTTAAATGAAGTGTGTTTGCACTAGACTAGAACTCTGGACAGGTAAATCGCTTGTATAGTAAGAGTCAAGAGAAGATTTGTTTAAGATTACAGGCCAAACTAAAGTTAAAGTGGAGTTCTATTTTTACTTAAATACAACTTTTAAAGCCATACCATGGGCTGTACATGATATTCGAGGGAAGAGTTTTTCTATAGAAAAAAAGACACTTTAAATTAGGTATGCTATACAGACATACTCTGTAGAAAATATAGCTAGGTGCAAAGACACACTAGAAATTAAAACTATCTTGATTAAATGTTTAAAGTGAGTAACAAGTTAAAATATAGCTATATTTATTTTAATAATTCATTGCACAGCATGTCAATGAATGAATGCCAAGGCATAAATAATACAATGTAATGCTTTTAGAAGAAAATGTTCTGTAAATGGAGTGAACATAAAGCCAATACTTACAAAAAGGGTATATAAATTCTAAAATTCATTTTAAATTAATTATTACACAATCTGAAATAATTCAATCATATGTAAATAGTTCCTCACCTTCTAGAGTCAAAACTGAAGAGGAATTATAAGGAATATGGATGAAAAAATCTGTCCTTATTCAATTCATTGTGAGTTCATGAAATCCATGATGTTCAAACTTTGCTGCGAACCCCACTGCAGTCTATTAGGGTGAACTTTGATATTAAATTCTGGCCATTTTCAAAAACTAATAAGCAAGCCACTATCAAAAAAGTAGCACGCAGATCTTGGTAATGCCATGAGGGGACATTTATACAATATTATTTAATATTGTTTAAAAATAAACATGTTAAACAATATTGTACAGCAAGAGGAGGGTCCTTTTAATGCAGTTTTGAGGAAAAACGCCCATCGTTTAAATGACATGCCTGTGGTGTTACAAAACAGTATTATTTTTTTTTCGACCGTACTGTATATTCTGGGATCACATATTTTTTTTTTTTTTTATAATAACAATTTTTATTGATTTTCAAAAATATACAAACAGTATGTTTAAGAAAAAAAAAGGATAAAAAAAGAAAACAAGCAAAACAGAAAGTTACATCGATGGCAAAACTGCGTAAGGACAGGACCAACAAAAACATAAAATAACAGTGTGAAGGTTATCAGGACCTT